TCGCCACAGCGGACAGAGTCAGCCCCCATCCTTTCCTAATTGCGTTCCCTGCTTCCCACTGTGCCTTCATTTAACACACTGAACTCCAGTTGCACTGCAAAAGACGTTTGTTTGAATACACCCGTCAAATACCAAGCGCGCTGACTCAATTAACCACGTTGCCAAGATAGTTCCATCCATTCTCCTCCCGATCCAGAGAAACCGAAACCGCAGAAAGAAGGAAAATGGAACAGAATTACTGCCGGAACACCAGCATTGCTGCTCGGCAAGATCGCCTTTCTCATGCGGCTGCACAGTTTCTTCCGCCGTGATACCCTGACTGATTCATCCGAAGCACGACGAAGGGAATAAACAAGACTCCTCACTTGAATTGTTTTGCTCCCCGATGCAGTGTTTAGCTCGCATTGTACGCGAAGTCAGGCTGCCGTCCTAATCCATAAGGTCATACAAGTAACAACATTGCTCTCTTCCCACTATGCAATAGAAGTCCTCAATCCTGAGAAGACATTATACCACACCCTAGGGCGCAAGGGAGGGAGGAGGATATGACATCGCCTCATCGCCCCTCTTCGCCTCATGCTTCTAAATGTCATGACCACCTTCTTTTCTCCGCTTTAGCATCAGCCCGAACCTTGCTTCGAATGAACACCACCTTTTGCATCTCACGGCCACATCCAAGGCCCGAATCTCATAGTCCACAACGAAGTAAAGCACGTTATGGTAACAAAACTCTGTATGCCGGGGTGTATGAGCATAGCCAGATCCTGCGAAACAAAAATAAATGCAGGTTGTACTTAATCCAACGTGTTCTTTTCTCACCATTCGCAAAAGAACAAACCAGACTTTAACGTCCTTCACAATGCTGCCTAATCCTTCGTTTGGACCATCTCCGGATCTCCACAACAAGAAGACGTTTCAGGTACTCCAACCTCACCAATTATCCACCGTCTTTGCCAGAAATTGTCCACTTAATTCGGCCAACAGGGACCCTGTCACGCCATGTCATTAAACGGAACTCAAGTTTGGGATGTCCGCCAGCCCACTAGAGAATTTCCCTTGTCCATTCGCCAGTGAGGCCTCACTGACTCGTTCATCCACAGCAGATGGCCTACCTCCACCCATTTCAAAGGAGGAGGAATGGGTGCGAAACTGGATTTCACATCGTTGACCTAATGCTATGCACTGCCAAGGGGGTCAGTTTGCGGTGCCCTGATTACTCCGGCACAGTAACATATACAAATACAAACACACCAGGTCTATGCACTCTACACGACCATTTTGTTTGCATAAATAATGCCTACGGTACAACATCCTGTCCTAACTTGTCACCTATTGCCTGTCCAAAAGTTAAGAAAATCAGCTTTGACAATAACTATTCAAGAAATTGCATGATCCTTCCCAGCCTCCAGCGATTTGGCCTCCACAATGGTGGGAGGGAAGAACATGAATACCATCTGGGTTACTAGTCCTCCATACCTTCGGACGAAGTTAGGAAGCAAACAACACCACTGTAGCGCACATTTTTGAGAAAAAAAAGGTTTTCCAAACTTCTGACAGAGTAAAACGGAAGCCGCATTTAGAGTGCCGCGTTCTCATGCATACACCAGAAGACAAATAATAAAAAGCACCTACTCACAATCCATCTGCATTCAGGTAAACCAAACAAGGCATGACGCACAGTGTGGTCGACACCAACTATAATATCCCGGTGCCATGGAGTCAAGCTATTCGTTTCCAAGCCATTTCTGTCCTAGTCAAGAACCTACTTTCAGACACCACATCACAACAAAGCACTGTATTAGCAACACCACCTTCCACTTGAGGAGGCCTACCTTGCAAGGAGGAGGTCGGTATCTGCGCGGACCAATGTACTGTGAAGCAGAGCAGCGCTCCGAGAAGACGGGGTCGCAGAGCACACGAACACCATCGACGTAGACTAGCACAGATGAGTGTCCAAGCCAGGTAAGACGCACCCCATCACCCTTCGCCTCGAATTTGGGTCGATAGATGGGCAAATGGCAGGCGAGCCGAAGATCAGAAGGCGAAGGAGAACAGTCAACATCCCCGGCGGTGAAACCGAGGACAAAACCAGCGCGCAAACGAGTGTCCTCCCACGTCGACCAAGGGTTGGCAAAACGACCCCAACTAGTGATCTTGACTTGGGTCAAATTCTCCGCCATTGACTGCCACAGAACAAAAATCCTCTCAATGTGCAGACCGAACATGTTGGATGCCTTGTCACTACCGTTCCCTGACCTTTATAGACACATTATACAACTGGCAGCAAGAAGTCGTGCTCCAAACAAATTGATTGGGGATGAAAGAAGCAGACAATGGTTTGCACTTTTCAACTTTTCAACAGTGGTCATATCAGTTAACCTGGTAGTGAAGGCGTCAGTGTCATGTCAGTAGAACGGGAAATTTGGACGTGAGGGTCAAGTTTCTTCTAAGGCTTTGCTTATCCGAGTTTGCGCATATCTAGTAATTACCAATGCAGAGGCCCAGGTCCAACTGAAGGGCATGTCACCTATTGCAAAATTAAAATCTACTGAAGAAAAGGGTGTGCCAAGCACGAGAACTACACCAGCCATATCTCCTATGAGCTCCAGAAGATGCTAAAAGGTGCTATTCTTATTGAACTACTTCTCACATCTATTTCAAGAGTAGGGGAAATTCAAATCGCCTCACTTCTAATAAACACGTCTCCCCCTCTTAAATGAAGCTACGGGGCCAGTGCATGCACGTTCAGTAGCAAAAAGGACCGAGTCTTGGCGGTAACGCAAAGCAGGAGCGAAGGCAATGCCAACCACATTCGAAATCAACAAAACACGAAATAAGAAATATCTCACTCACTCAACGCATTAGAGGAAAACGTATTTCGACCTTACCAACAACAAAATGGACTAGGGGCGAAGTGGGTGCAATAACAAGGAGAATATTCAGCATGGAATAGGTAAAGGTGTTGCAAGAAAAAGCTGGGTGTAGTGTTTGTTAACCTACTCGAGAAAAGATGCACAAACCGACAGTCCAAAATAACTGGAGGGGGGGAAGCATCTCAGGTAAAAGTGAAATCCCCTCTGCGGTGAGGTGTTAAGTCAAGTGAGAAGAGTAAGTGAATGCATCACGAGTGCCGACTTGAAGTTTGGGAAAACATTGAAGGTCAACGAGGTCATGCAATTACCGCCGGATGTCCACCAATGAAAAGCAGACGCCGCGAGTCAGTTGCTCCATTTTAAGTCAGTGTACATATATTGTAAAACATGGCTTTTGTAAGCTAGTGTTTCAAGTACTTGTTACAGAGACTAAGACGGAATTTAGCCAATAAAAATTATGGATAAAGGCAGAAAAACAGTGTACTTGCTAGGAAAGACAAATAGTGTAGATCCAATTCGATATTGCTCAATTTGACAAATATGCAGCTTCGTTCCTAGCGGTTGGCAGATAATGTTTGCTGCACTTCATGAATGCCGTCATTTACTTCAATCAAAATGTCTGCTCTGGAGCTAATGGAGTTTATACCATCCATCTAATCTCATCAGTGCAACGCCAGACTTTCCCGAAAGCAGAAGAAGAAGGCACAATACCTCGAGAGAATACACATACTCGACATACAGGTGATAGGGCTACTGGCATAGCCTGATGACCAGACCATCTGGTGAGGTACGACGTCTAGGTGGAAGTGGCTCTTTAGCAAGACCGAACGCTAAACAAACAACAAGCGCATCACCCTCACCGTTAACTTCCCGTGCTCTGGAACTTGAAGCAGAGCTAAAGGTACTGGCATGACTGGGAACCCAACCCACCTGGCGAGTGTGTGATGGCGGAGACGCAAATTGGCCTCCCTAACGTGACCGATAGTAAGTAAGCAACCAACGCATTGCATGCCTCAAGAGTCTCTCAGGCGCTACTTGAGCCATGGCCTCTTAAACACTTACGCACTGAATAGGGGCGAAATGCGGTGATAAGCAAACACGATTTAAAAGCGACCATCCATGTAAGGAATTAGGAAAACGACAAGCTTATGCACTGCCCCCATCGTCCCCAAAGTCACGGCAAATCAGAGCACTGTGGAAGTATACAACACGAGCACAGAAGTGCCATCGGGCTACTAGGAAGGACCAATGGTCATGACGAGGAGGAATTGCAACTTGCGGGCACTCAAACGCTCCCACTGTTCAGCACGTAGATAAACAAATAGTAAGTGACTACTCTCACCACGTGAACGTTGCTACTCCTATCCAAGGAAGAGCAATCTCCATAACTGGGATCTCAAGCACGTTCCTGAAGATGCTTTCAGTGTGGATGATGTCAAAGGCAAACTATTATTTATGCAATCATGAAGGTGTAACAAATGGGAAATCGTGGATAAGCAAGGTTATATGAGGGGCCAATGTCAGCCTCCACCTTGACATTTGATGGCGTCCACTCAGTCACGAGGTTGGCACGATCTGCCCATTTGTCATTCCAAAAGCGTTTTCCAAAATGGGATGCTTTCACATTTATGCCAGAGGTGATACGAGCTGAATGATTTGGCTGACCATGTCACTTGTTGGGTGGGTGGAAGAACCGTAGATTCAGTCATTTCTAGCAAAGTGGGTATCAAAACTACCCGAAAAGGTGAGTCGAGGACCCAAACGACCCTCCATCCAAACCGCCCATTGCAACATCATTAGCGCTTTGACCATGTGTCTTGTGAGTCAGGGAACCCTACCGCTGCACTTGCATTAAGGCAAAAACACACCTTGACCCCCTCATGCGTAAAGCACCTCTTCCAGCCAGCTGTGGCCACGGTGAGTGTCATAATGAGCCATATCCATGTGAGGGATCCATTAACAGCATGGAGAAGGGCTGAGAACCCGGCACCTTGATCCCTCCCTTCAGCCCTGCTGCCTTCGTTCAAATCGCGGAGACTGAAGACCCCACGTCCTCCATCACACAGCAGGTAGGTCAGTAAATGACACCAGTAGCTCGGGTCAGCGCTCAAAGTACATGCAGAAACACACCCCCACACCTCCTTCTAACCAGATAAAAACTAAATCTTCCAAATGAATGCAATGCTATTTGTATTTGTCGATTAGAAACGGCTTTCATATCGAATGACTTGATAATAAAGGAACGAGGAGTGAGTGAGAGAACAAACGAAGAGGTGTCACTTTGCAAGACAGGCGCTACAATTACAACACAGACAGAGAACTAGAAACAGGCGGTCAGGGGAAGGCGCCCAACCATCACGCGTTGATTGGCGAGTACGCGTCTGTCGGTCGGAGGGAGGTCAACTTCGGCTTAAAATTTTGCAGCAGATTCCATGTAGCTTCTGCAAAGATCAACCGCAATAAGTACATTAGAGATGTGCCACCAACTCCACAAACCTTTCCACTCCTCCATGGTGAGGTTGTCGGAATCTATCAGATCGTCTTCCAGTGGTTCTCCTACAGGCTCATCACTCTCGTTGTGATATTCCGCGAAGTATGGATGTGCCAGAGCCTGTGCTGCTGTCAGACGCCGATCCGGATCCAGAACGAGCATCTTCGAGAGGAGGTCCAGCACTACACGCCAATGGAGGTAACATCAACGCACTCAACAACCGGAAGTCGAAACACGAAACATGCCATCAACCCACATGAACCCCAACATCAGCTAATTGCAGGATGCCAGATTACTCCACACTTGTGCAGTCGATTCCGTCTGTGAAGAATGAAACGATTTCGCACGACTTGATTACCCCAAAACCGTCGAGTTAATCAACAACGATTGAATTATACACGCTCCTATTCGCTGAGACAAAGACGCAAACCCTTAGCATTTACTTACCCAAATTCAGTAAACAAACGCCACAGAGTGAGCATCAAACGCCTCTGCCAAGTGCATGATCTGTGTAGTCCACTTTTGCAGCCTCTTTCACTTACATGCAATCGCCGGCTTTCAACTCGCCATGCACGCGGTCGTCTGGCAGCGGCCTCGAAGCAAAGCACTTAGCGCACCCAAACGGGCACCAAGAAAGTACGAATCCCTTCCCTTCTATTAACTACACACCCACATGTCCGTGGCCATCGAAGCATCCACATCCAACTATTGCAGATTTGAGTAGCTAGTGATTTACAGGCATCAATCACAATGCGTGTGCTTTTCTTCCTCCAACACCAACCCAACCTAGGAAACTAAGTCCATTTGAAAGCCTACTTTTCAGCAATCAAACTCGACTTCCACAAAGGGACAAGCGAAATTTTCAAACCAATAAAGTAGGCTTAAACGATTCGCGCAAGTGAGTCAAAGAAACCCGTTCCCGCAAAGTTGAGGGACAAGGAAAGGAAGGAGGCAAGAAGTCGGATTCACCGTTGCCAAGGCAGCCACAAAGAAAAATCAATGACTCACAAACAGGCGAAGCCCACGGAAACGCATCTTTGAGATCCTTCTTGCTGGTATAGTTGAGTTTCTCAATAAATTCCCGTGCCTATTGAGGGAAGAACAATAATACCAAATCAAAGCAATAAAAGCGGGCTGGAGACAAGCGGAGAAGACGCCTTACACTGCTACTGGTAATTTTCTGCATCAATTCTTCGTCCGGAGCGCCCACGATGCTCATGATCTGCTTCACCTGATCGATGTGGTTCAGCCCACGGAAGAGAGGCTGGCGCGTTTTCAGTTCCACCAAAATGCACGCCACTGACCACACATCGACTTGAGGGGTGGATAAAACCGGTGAGAGGGATGCGAATTGAAAGCTCTCGACCCAAAAACAAAGCTTCCAACAAAAATGACTACTGCCTTATAGGGAAGTGGAGGACATTCGCTGTTATTAGCTATACTCTTACTGCAAAGCTTTGAAATGTGATTAAATGAAAATGAACTAGTTCAATTTGTGCATTGGAACATGGAAATTCGTCACACTCCTTTTCGTAGTGGAGATGTGCAATAGTTGACCACCCGTGTAGAAAAATGTAACAAAGCAAAACAATATTTCGGAGGCAAAGCTCTTTAGACGCATTCCACAATACCTTATTACTCGACAAAAAATAAAGTGGATAAAGGGAGAACGGAAGCAATCCCGCCAGTAAATTTGTAAAATCTGCCTTCCATTAGTGGCCGCGACTGGGTCTCGACCGACCAATGAGCAGTCAGGTGCTACGACAGAAAGAAAAGCAATTACGGGAGGCATCAAACAATGCGGATTTACCGACACCACCTACTACTCTCTGTGATTTTGCAATAAATGAAATGACGTCTGTCCAATCGCATTGAAGGCACTTCACAACCATGTCCGTAGGCGCACAACAAGTGAAACGCATTATTGACTAACTTGAAGGATCTTCGAGCCAAAAGTGATTCTTTTCACCTCTGACAAGGAAGATTTCAGCCACCCTGGAGGGTGGTTAAAGACAAGGCTTTGCAATAATGTCGTTTGCATGGCCTCCCCTTTTAGATCAAATGGCCACAACTATGTTGTCAGGCGAGTTAGGCCGGTCTGTCAACGGCCTCCAGGTAAACGTCACCTTGCTCCGAGTTGACCTTCAAGCAGAACAGAAAAAAAAACCCAAAATCCCACTTCCAACGCCCCAAGAGGAGCCACCATTTCTTCTTCACACACTTAAGCCACTAAAATGGGGAATGAGAGATTTTGAGGAAAATGGGACAATGTAAGACAGCAGAGGCGAAAGACAGGGCACCGATGTAAGGCCAACATTTGGCAATAACTCATGCAATGAGGCAAGAAGATGGGCGCAAATAAATTTTCCATTTCAAAAAGCCCCCACAAATTGTCTAAATTGTCACCCCCAAACACCGTTTAGCGGTGTGCGAAAAGTGCTGTTTAACTAGAAAGTTGGACGGGAGAAAAAATCTGTCCTTTTATCAACCACGGGATCCTTGCAAGGTTATTGATGTTAAAGTACAACCTCGGGTAAACCAACCACTCCTCCTTTCCTGAAGAGACTTGAACGAAGGATATGAAGAAGTTAGGCGAACGAGAACACGACGCCTATGTTGACAGAAAAAAAGCCCATAGGTCTCCCCAATTTGTTCACCTTTTTTCGAATTCGCCCCCCCTTCCCCCCACCTTCTCACCCTCTCGCCGTCCATCCTTCAACATTATCTAGGAAATGGAGCAAGTGGCAAAAAACAAACTAATTTGTCCTCAAAGCCAAAAAAACCTACGAATGGAAATGTTAAGACTGGTAAGGGCGCCTCTACAACGTAAACACATGCCGAGAGTTTAGACTTGACAAAAAAGATAAACAGATGGCTTATAGTAACCTATGGTGCGATTGTTTCACGCTCCAAACCACCACACTAGTGCCTTTTATAAAAAAAAGACCTCGGTGGGCTGGTGAGTAACAGCTTTTAAAGAGTAGCAGACAGAGACATGAGAAGTCCATTCTAATGCGATGATGAATAGGTGGTAGATACTTAGCATATCCAACCAGGTCCCATAATTCACCTAGCCTACAAAAGCTAACGCTGAAGACAAGTAGTTCAGCTTACCCCTCTTCACAAAACTGTGACGTAAAAGATACACCTCCTAGCTGCACTACTGAGGCAGCCTTTCGAATTAATCGAGTAGGCACCACATGCCACAGCTCTTCCCATGTGGTTAGTTCGGTCCCACCAAACGCAAATTCTATGCAATCAAGCTACCAGGTCTCGCAAATTACACGCATGTGGAACGAACAAAAAACCTCAATCCTACCTGAGTCGTTGTAATGCATCCAATTAAGCATAACTTCAGGCGCTCGGTACCACCGAGTAACCACGTAGCCCGTCATAAGATGACTCTTTTGCCGCGCCAAACCGAAGTCGATTATACGCAGTTCCACATCGGAGTTTACTCCGATGTTGGAGGGTTTCAGGTCACGGTGGATTATATGGGCACCATGCATGTACTACAGAGAAGAAAAAATATAATAAAGAAACCACGAGACCAATCTGGATACTTGCAGTTGTACGAGAAGATGCCTAGTCAAAGCGGGACTCCCAATTCTACACCCATAGAATAGCACTACTGTGGTGGGGCTATATGCAGTGGTAAATGCCAAGTTTGTTCCATTACTCCACGCAATAGCTGAGACAAATGCAGTCCGAGGTCAACCTGACCACCGTTTGCCAATATGGGATGTAGGCTTTGGCAATGAACCAATTCTGCTGACCATTAAGATCCAAGATCGAATACCCTTGGTGCCCGTATCCTCAAGAACATGCTATGGGGTGTTTAACCAGTCAGTCATAGGACATTTGAATGGTGGGGATCGAGAGAGGGTCATGTGCCTATCAGTGCCACTCTCGACTGTGGTGCTTCTGTTCCCAGCCCACAGCCCAAGGTAGTCATTCCTGCAAACGGTCAATTCAGTATGTGCGACGTCATATCCTGCATGTCTGCCAGCCATAAAACTGCACAAAGGACGAATCATTTTCCGCAAACAGTGAACATGATTTGTTAGGGCAGTTTGGCTAGCAGCAGGGGTTTACGATTTGACCGGCAAAGAAGAACGAAGTGATGGAATGAGTGGGAAGGTCAGAACTTCCTCAGTTTCTGCACTGACAAGCACTGCCAACCGCTCACCGCTCAGACCTCAACCCTACTGAGACCAACCTCTTCGGACCTCCACATGAGTCCTCTGCAGGTAAGCACCGTCGATAAAGTGAAGCAGACCACCCTCATGAATGCTTCAGCTGTGATGGCAACTCTTTCTTTATCGACATTTACAGGTAGTACTTAAGTGTGCAAAGACAACGAAGTCAACAAAGTTCCATTTTCACTTAAAAACGCCTCCAGTATAAGCACTCAAGTTACCTTCAGCGCGCGCAGCATCTGGTATGCGAGGAAGCAGATCTGATCGTCAGTGAGCACCTGCTGAGCCACAATAGCACCCAGGTCGGCATCCATCAGGGGTGTGACAAGGTATCTAAACGATAAGCATCCACATCACTGTGCATCATTGTGTGTGCAAATAACACAAGGCCATTTTTGCACTTCCTATGGTCACTTTGACGACAGTGTCTATCAATTTACCCTATCGCCCAGCCAAATCAAGTGTTTCCTCACATGACACCTAAGGCAATGACTTTGCTCAACTCGTCACTCGGTAGAACTACCAAAACTGGGGAGGACACACACCACCAACGCAAAAACAATGAATCATTTGAAATAACTCCAGTGAGTGAGGAGGAGAATGGCCACTTCCCACCCTATGACTTCTCAATGCATCATTGTCTATTGCACATGAAAGGCAGATAATTTGTACCTCCATTAAAGCCTAGCAGAGAAAGTATTGAAGAGGACACAAACCCGATGATAACCCTCCATGAAGGCAACGTATTTATTAGGAGTTCAAGGCCAGTACACTCTTTAGTGCCGCCATGTTAGAGAACTGAACGAAAGGCATGAACGCGTCAGAAAGTCCCACTCATCATCATCATCAATGATGCTTTTCACAGGAGGACGCAACAACCACGTTTCCAAAAGGCTTCACACAAGTTAGTTTCTACGTCCCCAGATCACTCCTTTCTTGGCTTGAATTACAAAAATGAATAAAGTTGATGCGGGAGAAACTACTCCAACTCCACCCTCTCACCTCCAAATAACTTCAAACCGCCATCAGGTCAAAGACCACCTAGAGCAAGTCCAAAGGCCAAGAAGCACTTTATGCACTTTCACGAGGTGAGAGGCACGCCCTCACTCTCATCCCAAATGACATTCTAATCTGCAGTGGCTGCCAACAAAAAGCATCCCACTTATATGGTGACAGGTCGTAATGCCGAAATGAAGGCACACGTGTCCTACTCGTCACTCGTCTTTTGGACAACGCATAAAAGTTAACTAAGGTGCATTAAACAGTAGAACAGTGTCCAGACAAGACAGACTGAGTGAGTGAATGGGGTTTCAAAGATCAATGGCAGGCTTAGACGCTTCTTCATCGCTGTAGCAACGCTCGTTGGAATATCTCCCACTTCCCTCTCACCAGACAAGCCAGTTCAACCCAATCATTGTGGTTCGAAGTTGCCTGCCCTACGCAGTTAAACTCGGTCCCAAACAGTCAGGCGCCTCCTTAAAATGCCTGCAGGACTTGCAGATGGTGGGGCAGTACTAGATAAGCACACGCGAAATGGAAAGGTGGAGATGAAAAGTTGACAGGAAACGGAGACAACCAGATCTAAGTTGTTCTGAGGCTCAAGGGAAATAGGCATTGTCTGAAAAGCCGAATTCGCATCTAACCTGTGTCTCGGTGGCACGAGATGATGAAAAGGGATGATAAATCGCAAAGACGACACTCCAACTAACAGAATACCTTACATTATCTGTGGTTTTGTTTACAACTGATCGGACAAACCTGTTTGACTATTTTATAAATAAAGCTAAACCATATGCCATAACGGCTAGGTGGGAAGTAAACGACACCGCCCATACTAAACCACGAGGGCAAGATATTGGGAAAATTAAACATTTAATTCCTTCCTCCAAAAAACCAACATTGCAAGTAAGCTTACCGACTGTGGTAAAAATTCTGGCACCCTCTAATACTCCCAATGACACCCTATTTATTGCAATAGGAAGGAAAAGTAGAAAAGCAAACAAGTGAATAGCGGAAGGGAGAATAGGCATGATACGTACACGTCTTCAAAAGTCTCCAAGGAGGTTTGCGGAGTAAATGCATCGATGAGGCAAATAACCTTCACAAAGGAAGCAACAAATAGTGACCATTACTCCGGGGAACAAAAATCGGTAGGAAGGAAACAAAGACGCACGTTTTCATGATCCATTTGAGCCAGAATGGCCAGCTCACGGTAAGTGCGCTTAGCGAACTCTGCATTCTCGAAAGGCCGATCCAACTTCTTAATGGCCACCTCTCTCTGTAAGTACTTGTCGAACGCGGAGCTGTAATGTAAGCATTGGACACACATGTTTGGAAGGGCAAGCACTTAATAATCATATTTGTGAAGTTTAAAAATTACCTTACAGTTCCAAAGCTACCCTGACCGGCGACATTAACGGGGGTAGCGGTCCGGCAGATCCCACCGCAGCTGGTTTATTTCAACAGGGACAAACTGTCGCTCTTAAAGTAGAAACGAAACATAGTGTAGATCCCACCAAGCATCGGTTCGGAAAGTTAGTGCGTGGGTAATATGAAAGCAAAAGGAAAATCCGGTAGAAGGCCACAGGAGACAAGTGTATGCATGCACAAATTTGGCGATCCACGTACCATTTACATCGGGCATGACTGGGAGGGATTCAAAAAGCCTAAAAACAGCAAAGGCACAGCAAACCACACATTGTAAACAGAGGGAAAATCATGGGCGAAACTAAGGAAGTAAACTGATGTAATACTACGAATAGAGATCTACGACCTTTCCCTAAAACATGGAACTCTGGAGAGGTGCAATATTGAAAGACACGCACCCAAATAGGGGTAGGTAATGGAAAGCAGAAAAAAAGTGGCCATAACATTAACACTGAGTCACATAAAATATTGACGAGTGAGACCAATATTGAATTTCTTTAAATGGGCGGTAAGGTGTTTTACGGCACGAAGTAGTTACTGCAAGGCAAACAGAGTTAACTTGGACAAGGCAGTTCCCGAAAAAGACCCAGTAGAGCGACACCTGCAGTAAAGGGCAAATGGAACCCTCAGAGAGACCGACTGCCCCAACACTCGTGAAGAGAACGACCAAACACCGCGGGTAAAGGGCAGTAGGATGATAGGTTTTGCTGCACATAAAGTTAGTTTGAACAAATGCAAAAATGAGGAGACTGGTGAGTGTATCGCACATATTACCTCAATTCGTATAAAACGAATGGCATCGACGTGACAGGAAAGTGGAAAGGTCCAAATCTCCGACAAATGCCTCCCATATTACTCTAATCTGTTGTCAGCCTCTGTATTATTAGGGTTTGCAGAAAGTGGGCGTTATGGAAGTTGCAAAGAAGGTGGCAATGTTTTAGCTATTGAAGGTGGAAATGTGGGGAGCAGGCAGCGAATGTGCAGCATGATGTACCTGTGTTCGATGGGAACTTAGTGGTTCTTTAGAAGAGAACTCCACAACAGGTGAGGAATTTTCCCCACATTTTGTTTTTGCTCCTGGAACAAGAAAACTGGCTAGATTTGGGCATTCTTCACTTATTCGACCATGACAGCAGTGGGGCACCGCGGTCTGCATTGGGTATGTTTCGGAATTCCTCTTCTTTCTTGTTGGCTGCTCCGTCATGCTGTTTAGTACTTCGAGCTTTCTTACCCACAATTTGTATTTAAATGTACCTTTAATACAAGTATACTGAATTGGGAGCCTTCCGTCTGCTCCCACCTTTTGTGCCCACCTTTTCATTAAGGATATTGCCTTTTCGATTCCTTGGTACTTTGGACTTCTGCCCCAAGGGAATTTTGCTAGATTGTGTGAAGCAAGATTTGCGGATGCACTTACCCGTCACTTATTCACAATTACCTCGTTTTAATATGTCAGGTCGCTAGCGGACTTTACGGCGTTATGACAGCGTTAAAGGTTCGCCCGCCTTCCCCCCTCATCATCCTCTAGGATCTATCTCTTTATGCTGTTAAGGCGATTTTGATTCTGGACAATGAAGGGAAGCGGATAATTGTCAAGGTTTGGAAGTACACCTTTTTTACCCACAGATAGTATTACGATAACACATTTCCATCCTTGAAGGCACAATTGGATTTTGAGAAGAAGTTGTTTTCAAAGACCAGCAAAAGTGCTTATGGTAAGATTGGCATGCTGTTTCCACTTTGAAGCTGAAATCACCCTCTTTGAGGGGACTACTTGTGTTCATCGCACGACCTCGGATATCTACTTCTACATAATCGGCGATGTTAACGAAAACGAGGTTTGTCGCCAGTTTTATGATTCCCCTGCGCTTTAGCTTATGCTTATGAATGCCCTCACCTGCTTGCATGACTCAATCACACAAATTCTGCGAGGTAACTTGGAGAAGAAAACTCTTCTTGATAACCTCGAACTCATCTACCTGGCTGTGGATGAACTGTGCGACGAAGGGTAACTTTGCTGTTGAAAATAGGAGTTGTCATGTTAGGATAATCATGGAATATGACTCTGCTGCGCTGGCTTCGCGGGTCGGAATCAAACCCGAAGAAACATCCCTTAGTGAACAAACGGTTACACAGGTATGCCACCCACAGCCTTTGAAGTGCTACCTTTCGTTCTGTTTCCGTTTCTTGCGTACGCTCCCTTCCAAATGGTACATTTGCTTCCTTTAAGGCAATGCAAGCCGCCCGCGAGCAGATCAAAATGGCCCTTCTGCGATAGACTGAAGAATATTCCGCTTACCCATGTCAAATAAATTGTTACTCTCCTGATGGGTTTCTCCAAACAACGGGAGGTCGTACACTAGGTTGGGAAATGGATTCCTGTTTTACGCACCAAAACACCTAGGCAGAACCTTAAATATTTGATTCTATTTGTGTTTCAATGCAAGGACAAGGACAAGTACGGTGGCCGGGCAGGCGACATTCGCACTTTCAACACGAATATCCACACCTAGAAGCTCTTTGAGTTGTTCAAGTGGTGCATTGCCTAATCCCTCTCGGCTTGATTTGGTGCTGACGGCGGATTCCTGGGCCTGTAATTGCGTAGGAAGTTCCAGGTTGCTTCTGAAATCGGACAAAGTTGCCTTTATCGGGCCATTCAAATGTTTTATACAAAGTGGCGAACCGCATTCCGCTTAGGGACTACGCTGTCGGGGTTTTATCAAGCGCCTCATTGGTACTCTAAGAATCCGTGTCAATACGAAAATTGGGGTAGGTGTGGTACGATTTGTCCGCTCCAATCATGCATTCTGCTCGTAATGCGGGGCATTGCCCCTCTAATACTGGTGGCCAACCTACATACGACACCCATCGGCGGCAAGTACCATGAGGTGGTCTAGAAGTAATCGTTTACCTTTCCACTGATCAATGGTCAAGGAGTTGGATGAAATAAGTTCATCCTCCAACGGTGTGCCCTCCTGTTCATCATTTGCATCGTGATATTCAGCAAAGAATGGATGTGCCAAGGCTTCTGATGCCCTCAATCGACGATCCGGATCAAGAACAAGCATCTTCGAGAGGAGGTCTAACACTAGAAGACAAAAACATAGACATCTTGCACCAAACCTGCCATGCCCACAGTTGGCATGGTAATGCATTGGTCTTGCTCACGTCACAGAACCCCAACGTGTCATTGAGGCAAGCATTAACTTTGTGCGCTATTTTAAGCATTACCACACAATGCAAAGTCCTCACTACTCAAGAGGCCTATTTTAAGTCGCCTTTGGCGAGCTAAACTTACACACGTCTGATGCCCACGGAAAGACCTCCTTAAGATCACGTCTTGGTGGGAGGTTTAGGGTCTTAATGAATGCCCTAGCCTACAAAGGAACCAACATTACCACGAACGTCCACTTAACGTGCTTGCCAAGGTCGCCCGGTTTTGGCCAACCAGGAAAGGGTACGAGTGGCGAGTCCATGCAGCCACTTACACTATCGCTACTAATCTTCCGTCGAAATCCTTCATCTGGCAGGCCAACCACAGCAAGAATTTCTCCAAGTTGCTGCATGGGATTATCACCACGGAATAGGGGTCTGCGAATCTTCATCTCTACCAGAATGCATGCCACCGACCAGACGTCAACTGGAAAAAACAACACGGTTAGATGACATTAATAGGTGTGTCTAAAATACTCACCTGTGTCGTTGTAGTTTATCCAATTGGCGATGAGTTCAGGTGCTCGATACCATCGCGTTACCACATAACTGGACATGTTCTCATTCACCGGACGAGCCAATCCAAAGTCCAGGATTCGTAGATTGCAGTCCTCATCCACAGCTATGTTCTTGGGCTTCAGATCTCGATGAATAATGCTCGCGCCATGCATGTACTGGAGAATTTATAAGGAAAACACATAGTCCCTAACATTTTAGCGGTAAAAACCACCTTGCTGTTCACCAATTCACCGGTTACGCCATCACGAAGGTCCCTTCCAACCAAATCCTCAAAGTTAGGTAAATGTGCGTGCACACACGGAGTGACTCGCCACCTCTTTCAGCTGTGTATTCAGATGTGCGAGTTCGCCAGCCTCCACGGTGTAAGCTCCCATTGTGCTATTTATGGATTCTCTTGCCTTCTGTATACTCTCAATACATCCCTCACACGTGTATGGCTCGTTATGGATCATGCTTTCGAGATGAATCAGACCGCCGCATCAGTGCCAGTGTCAAGTAGTCGCGATCCAGAAGGAGAAACACCCTGACTTACCTGGCAAGCGATTAAAGCTTAACGCCACAGAAAACGATGTCCACTGTGGATAGTCGAGTCTGTGGGTACTTCACACAAAGGCACCGTCCATGCAATGCCACGTCTGCAGTGCCAACCACCTCTACCTCTACTTCCACCTCCTTCGCTGTGGCATGGTAATCAACAACAGAGGTGACGACGTGCCACTAGAGCAATCGGGAAGCGTCCAAAAGCAGCTGTCAACAGCGTCTCCAAGATGATCCAATGAAGTATGCGTGCAAGTGACACCTTCACTTCGCCAATGACAGCTGAATGGACGCCATGCAGGAGACTGAGGAGCATAGGAATGGGGACGATGCTGCGAGGAGGTTATGTGAAGCTGTGCTGACCTGTGTGCTCTGGTGGATGGGTCCGCATTGTTATTCCAGTGTCTGTACACATGGAGGAGGTGGGCAATGCGGCACGAATCGTGTTACGATGGGCGTATCAGGAGGGCTGCGGAGGGCTCCTCATTCAACACTTAAGGGGCAATAAAGGCATGCGGCGACCTAATACATATCCTGTTAGCCATGTACTCAACTACTCGGACTCCTCAGTCTCGCCTGTCTCAACTTCTTCCTCGACAGTGTGGTCTAATGCCCATGAATCCTATCCCTAATGCAAACACTGATTTTGGGTTGCTTAGACGACGCTTCCCCTACATTTTGGAAGAGTCAGTCAAGATTAGTGCGGCAGATGTCAAAGAAATGCAAACAAGTAACCTTGGAGGCAAAAATTGATCACAAAGGAAAAAAACCTTGAGAGCTCGAAGAATTTGGTACACCAGGAAGGTTATTTGGTCGTCATCGAGGACTTGATGCTTTAAAACCTCCGCCAAATCACCTGCCATCAGAGGCATTACAAAAAAACTAAAGGGAAAATATAGAGGGAGGAAAGCTAGGAGTGTGCACTTTGCAAAGCAAACTCATTCTTAAAAAAAACATGACTTCTGCACAAATGGTACTTACATTTCGTTGAAACTTTCCAATGTTGCTTGTGGCGTAAATGCGTCCACCAGAGTTACGACCTAACGCCAAAACAAAGGCTTTTGTAAAATGGAGATAGGAACGAAGAATGTTAATCATATAATGCCACTGCAATGCATTATTTGTTTGTTCAATCCTCGGTTTTGGTCACGGATATCTAGGAGGCTGCGCCAGTGAGCCCTGCACCTTGTGCCATGCCAGCAGCCCCAAGCTCTTCCCTATTTCGACAGTACATAGTCTGCCAGAGTATTATGTCTTCTTTCGTCTTCACGGAAGTCTCGGGACGCTTCAGCCACCCCACGTCTTTCTCCTGACAAAGTTGCTCACCCTAATAAATGCACTACATTCTCCTGACTACCTATTGTCCAGTTCGCAAATCTAGCACCTCTTGAAGAGGAATTACTTGACTACAAATATCAAATCCTAGAACGCCTGTGTTAATGAATCTTTTCACCGATAAAGGGGTTTCTAAAAGAAAAAAAGTGATCACCATCTTGAGTGAGGCATAACCAAACATTGGGGTGCAGTCTTGAAGTGTCGAAGGAAAGTCCACCTGCTTGGACGGTTCTAACATGCTCTAACGACCACTTTTTAGCAAAACGGCTGGATCAATGACGAGAACCGTGCCCAACTATGCGAGGTGAGACCGTGCTTCTCCACAGCCGTCTATGCGAGAACTCAGTGTCGGTGCATTTGTCTGCATCCAGACATTCCAGATAATGATAGAACACCAGCGAGCAAAGAAGAGCTGAAGGCATAGATACCTTCAGAATGACGCTGTCCTTAACACGACCACTACCCCATAGCCTCAGAGGAGAACCAAATACCGCAGCCTACTTCCTCCACACTCCAATTCATTTCCTTTTATTTGCATGCAACACAAATGTGTGACACGCATATTCTATTACCTTACAACAGCTAACTCCACCAAACCACGTTGAAGGAAACAGAGGAGGTACAAAACTCTCTTACTCCAAGCATCACTCTACTCTTCTTCTTCTTTGAACAACAAATAAAATAACAACTAGTGTCATCTCAAAAGGATAATGAATCTGGGCAGTGGAGACCGATTTCCCTTTGGGTCCTCCATCGCAAAACACTCACGCTTAGTACCACACTCCCTTTTTTGATTTGGCTCTAATAAGAGAACGGCTGACAGGCGTGATTACAATAGCTTACTGCCACTTATGTCAGCTGCCAGTGATGCTCCACAATCGACATCAAGGAGTGCCACATCACAAATATAACCCTCTTTTTTCAAGATGGCATGGCAGAATTAGCGCATTTCTCCTGTGTTCATCTTTCCAATGTTTGAATGAGAAAATACACACCTATTTCTTTCCAGTACCTTCCAGTGTTTACATGCTCATTATTCTCCTTCAACTCATTGAAACCAGGCGTTTATGCTTGATGAAGCAACTCCACAGCATGATGAAATCCAGCCTTATACATCCAGTAGGCTATAAATAGGCACGATAGGTGAGGACACAATCCAGAAACTAAACTCTCCAATCTCCTCGACAATGTGAATGCAGGTAAACAAGCGCTACGTTGGACAGAATGATGGTGCATCCCTTCTAACCAACGGCGTACGCTGACCATGTAACACGAAATGATCCACACTGGGTGCCAGTTTTCGCAAAAGTCTCCATCGTCATTTAAACGCCAGCTTCACTTATGACTTATAGTAAGGCCACAGGTAAAGGATAGGAAATTACCACTGCTTGGACGATTTTAAGCGTTTAGTGGATTGCATGTGGACCTACAACTGGGAGGTGTTTAAATAAGCTCTGTTTGTTAATAAATAATTTTAGTGGGGACGGAACTCACGTTCTCATGATCCATATGCGCCATGATAGCCAATTCACGATAAGTACGTTTGGCATCTTCGAGTGTGTCGAATGGTTTATCAATACGTTTTATAGCCACCATGCGCTGTAAAAGGTTGTCTTTTGCAGAGCTAAAATGAAGCCGAATGCACTAATAGACACCTTGAAGAAAAAAAGGACTTTAAGGGAAGAAGAAGTCTCACCATACGACCCCAAACGCCCCACTCCCGACTGACGTGAGGTCAGAATAACGATCAGGGAGGGTCCAGCAAAGCCCATTAAATTCGACGGGAACGAAGTTGCGCTCTGCGTGAGATAGGTGGTGAGAATGCAATGAAAAGCATTTGCAAAAAAGGACTCGAAGGCACATGAGACGCAAAATTAGAAGATTTTTTGTTAAAGCAAAAGCAGCTGTCCTAGTATTCCACCACTTTAACGTACCAGACATACTAATTAGTAAGCTAAAATGCAGGCACAGCGACAAGTCATATACATATTTGACTGAAACGAAAGCCACAACACAAAGACAAGTAAAATTGCTAGTCCAATTTTCAAAATCACGACAAAAAGACCATGCTGCATTCTTAACAAACTTGTGCACATTAAGCAAAAGCATAGCATACAAGAAGTGGCAAGCTCAAAACAGACTGATCGTTGGCTAGGACAGAGGTGAAATACATATGCAATGCCACTTTGTGACTACCAAGTTTTGAGCCACATTTGTTAGGGCTGGGGGCAGTATAAAATCGGAGGGGCTTAGTGCAACAAGAA